CGTCCTCCATCCTTGCGCACGCCCCGCGGCTCTGGCAGCGCGAATTTATTCAAAACCCTCTGCTACGAAATCGGCCGCCTCGTCCTGCCGCCCGCCGCACGCGGCGCCCGGCCCGGCCGCTCAGTGTGGCGGGAAGGAATTCAAATTACGGCGCGGACACGACTCTCGCCCCGCCCCGCCACGCCGCGGTGCTACCCAGAGCTAGCTGGTCCCGATGGTCATGAGGCCCGAGGTTCATTATTTCCAACAGACACCGCCGCGGGTATCCGACCCATTCCACCGAGCGGTCGCTGATACTGGACTGGATCACGCTCTCAATGTATTACCGTCGGACAATTCCGTCCCAATAAAAGGGTGCTTTATTTCAGCACACGTCACTCGAACGGTACAGCGGCAAGGCAGGGCTATTGAACCACCCCACGTCAGGTAAAATGATTCAATCAATAGGGTATTACGCTACAATTCAATCGGAACCTAAAGAGGAAAAGTATGACTACCCGATCTGTTTCCTCCTGAACGCTGATTGGCCAAAGATGGCGTGGCTGTGGCGGTTAGCCAATGAGCGCGCAGAGGGAAACACATCGAGCAGCCATGATTTTCTTCTTTAGGTTCCGGTTGGCTTGCAGCGGAATACCCTATACCGTCGTCTTTGAATTTTCGGTGACATTGTCAAATTTGTGTGGCATAGAAGATGCACGGTAAATGTTTAGAAGTGTCAGGGAAATCGTGTATATCAGGAAAGTCGGAGAAAAAACACATGACGCGACTTTTTGACATTTACTGGAATTCTGTTCATCTATGAACTTTTGTTCGGGTAGGACTCGTCCATTTTGAATACGAACACTTCATGCGAGCGATCTATGCGAGCGATCTCGACATCTCATGTTTGTACTCGAGCGATCACGAACAGCTCGTTCGAGTTCGATCGAACCCGCACATGTTCTTACGTTTGGTTTTGTTTTTTATTGGTGCGTGAGGTCGTCCGAGGATGGGAATGTCAGAAATAGGGAGAGGAGGGGGGTTGTCGTATTGACCGCATACTTTACTGCCACTACGAAGGTTGTCACTGTTTAACCGCTCGCCGCCATGTTTTGTCCGTAGGTGGATGTCCCTGGTCGGGTCGCGGCCGGCGCGCCTCTACCCGGCCGAGCTGCCCGCCTCCCGTCACTGGGGCATCATCCTCGAGTCCGTCACCGTCTCCCTCAAGCCCCACCACCACCTCCACCAGCCGGCCTGTGTAAGTATGATGTGTTTCTCGTTGGTGAGTGAGAGAGTGCATCACCGGCCGCGGCGCAACCCCGCGCTCGCAAGCGCGCTTGTGGTGTTGGTTGCCTTTATAACAGCAGCCGACTGTGTGTGTGTGTGTGCGCGCGCGCGCCGCAGTGAGTGGCCTCTGCCCGAGCTGCCCTGCCAAAGCCCCACCCTTGGTATAAAGAGCAGCCGCCGCAGCGCCGTGCCAAAGGTCACTCGGGCAAAAAAAAACAAAAAAAAACGCGCCTGCCGCGCGGCCTTGTCGGTCTGATGTCATCCAAAAAAATAAAACAAGAACACGTTAACGATTCTTGTCGTCAACGAGACGCACCTATCGAAACCGCACTAAGCCTCATTTGTGGGATGTGCTTATGATGATAGGCAACAAGCAACAGGGACCCGTTGAGTTAGTCAGAGGCGTCAAACCTGACGCCTGCCAGCGTTGCTTGGATCAAAGGGATGCAGGTCTGCTGCGCCACTCTAAAAAAATGTATCGAAATTTTCGTGCCAGAAACAAAATTTCGATGCTTACGGCAAAGTTTTAAAGTTTAGTGATTTTCTCCTTAGTGCCTGCACGGTTTAAACGTGAATTTTAAACAGGGGTAGAACTGCCGGCTTACAGCCGCGAGTGTTCGGCACTTGTGCTCGGTGATTGCTTCGGCGTCCGGGATGGATCTTCCCCGTGCGGCCTGCCGCACTATATCTCGCGCCACGCCTCACCAAGTCCCGCCCCGCCACGCCCCGCCACGCCCCTCCGCTCTCACCAACACCGAGCCAATGCGGCGTTACAAATGGTATGCGCATATGGGGAGCGTACGGCCGCAGAGGATCGGATGTTCGGAGGCGGTGGCGGCGCGTGGCGTGGCGGCGCAGAGCCAGTCTGCAGAGGGAAGCCCAGCCGAATCATAAAAACTCGATGGAAATTGGGACCACCATTCGCTCACGTTCCGCTGCGCTCTCTGCATCGCCAGGAGGAGCCTCCTCGCGTCAGTTGGAGGAGGGGGGGGGGGACACTGCCGAAGCCAGCTTGTGGAAGGCAATTTTGTGTTTACACGGCTGTCCATAAAGCCATGGGGATGCTCACGCTTGGCCTCCCGGCTTGTTGCAGGGCTTTGGCGCCCCGTGCGCGCTTCCGGGACTCGGCGCCCCGCTGGAGGACAGGGACTCAAACAAGTCACGGGGTCAGACACGCAGCCCGCACGGAGCCAGCAGGGCCGCATGCGCCACCAGGTGAGCAGTATGTTTATGTCAATTAGTCGAGAGTTTCAAAGTTGTGTGTGTGTGTCTTACTCGAAACGGTTTAACTCGTTACAATTTTACTCTTGGCGCGCACGCCCCTCGGAGTATCATGTGCCCAGACTTAAGAACTAAGCTCTTTTTTACGGTCCGCCCGGGCACCGCGCTGGCGGGCTGGGCCTGGACCCTCGTGCAATCTGTTGGCAATACAGTTGTCCCTTTTTTCCCCCGGCCGCAGGATGGACGGTTCGTGCTCGGCCAGCCATGGCGGTGCCCACGCCGGCGGCAGCGCCAAGGGGAAGAAGAAGAGCACCAAGAAGCAGCAGCCGCCCGCGCCTGGCGCGCCCAGCGCCCCCGCGCCCGCACTGGTGGTCGGCAACATCCTGGACACTTGGCACAGCGCCTGTCACTCGATCGGTCAGGCCTGCCTGCACTAGCCCCGGCCCCCGCATGACGCTGGCCCGACCCATGTGCCAAAAAACGAATCCCGACGTCGGTGGCTCCGAGCGTTTAGAAGCACTCATCAGATTGTTAGAGCGAATGACTGTATTCGAGTGTATTTTTGTAAAACTGGTACCTAGTTGAGCTGAGACTGTGTCTCGCTCCCCCGTACAGAGCTCTTCGCTCTGTGCATGAATTTTCGCTTAGACAAAATATAAAAGTGATTTGCTGTATTTTTCGGGGGGCAAAAATTTTAAAAGATTGGCTTACTATTTTTTCACGCTACCTTTTAGAAATTGAGTAGTGTTGCATAATTTTAGAGTTAGCAATGATATTTTGAGGGATCAACGATGAACTACATTGTCGTTAGTTCTATGAAAAAGTTGAGCTCTCTCAAAAGTTTTACTAAATAACGAGCCATATGAAAAGTGTGATGGGCCAAATAATTTGATGATAGACTGATGTACAGAGATTATTGAAAAGAATATTATATTCTATTATTTTATCAGCAAACACACCTACCCTAAGCTCATCCCGACTAGTGACATAGGCCATGATTGTTAAATACAAGAGCTGTAAACTTTTCAAAAGAGTGTGATATAAAAACTTCCTTGTATTTTAGTGTATATAGTTTTCTTGGAACGCGACTGTACATATTATATAGTGTTAAGATATAAAACATGTGCAAGCGTGAATTAAACTCATAGGATAAACTATTGCCAATTTAATGAATGTAATGTCTAAAATCTCAACAGAAAAACATCCTCAACATCAAATGGATTTTGTGTAATCTAATGAACATCATAGATAACTGACTTTTAGGTAGAACAAACGAGTTTGGTTCATTTAGCACAAATTTAGTTTTAATGCAAAATGTATACTTTGTACATAGCGACAAATATAAATTAGGAATGTAAACATTTGTATAATTAAATTGAAGTTTTCAAAGCAGTATTGCCGTTTATTTATCACTCGGAGAGTTTTCCAGCGCACCTGATGGCAGTCCATATGAATTAACCCACTTACAAAATCCCTGGCATAGTATTGTGATTCAGGTGCACTATTTCACGTACCTTCATGATCAGATCAGAGAATAACGTTGTGTGGACGTTGAATGTTAAAACCACCTCGATTTTCGACCATAAGCATATAAAACACCGACGTCCGCCGCGTAAATATCTAGTACAATTGTACTGAAAACGCACAAAATCTTTCTGTCGGCACTGTCATCAAATACAGTGATATCATTTGCTTCCTCAGAACCTTCTTTTTCTTTTGCTTTTTGGCAAATTATTGTTAAGTATCACGAGTGCACCCCACCGTGGAACTGCAGCTCCCTCCCACGGAGGGACTTCGGAGGACCTCCAGGCTGGCGCGGAGAGCGGACTGCTGGTCGCAACTGCCCCCGACCGGCTCGGGTATTGCTCTCTTTCTCTTTCCCTCTCCCCCGCTCTGACTGCGGCCGCTTGGGCATTATTGGAGCCATATACACTTAGCCAGCAGGCCGGCCTGGATGGGCAACAGCCATCTTAAACGTCTGGCTGACCTGGCGAGGCATGGCGGGCCATGGCGGGACCCGGCTGGCGGGGCCGGATGGGCGGGCTGTGTGGGCCAGCTTGAACCCTCCCCAGGGAAGCCCCCCGGCCCGGCAGCCCGGCGGCCCGGCGGAGGGGTTGGAAATAATTTCGCCGGGATTTGAAGTTACTGTCACGGTGTGTGCGTCACGCACCGTGGAGTCGGGAGAGGGGGAGGAAACGACGGGGCGGGGAGCCGGACGCTTGTAAAGGAAACATCGACAACCATAAAAATGTATTCGCTTTGATTATTAAAAGGTGGCGACAGTTCCGAGTCCGAGTGATTTAAGAGTAAGAGTGGCTCAAAAATGCCTGCTTGCTTATTCATAATCATCCTCAGAGTAGAGCAGTCAGTTTATTAAAACAAATTCAAAACGAAAAATTCAACGAAAATGGTTCAAACGCTTTGCTTTGGCAAGGCCAGGCGGTTGGAACAACCTCTTAATTCGCTGCTCCGCCCCGTAACCTTGTATTTCTCCGTTTTCATTATATGCCCCATCCCGCCCCACTCACAACAAGAGTTTATCGGGCTGCGCTCAGGTGGGTCTGCAGCCTCCGCTCGCTTGACCGCCAATTCAATTAAATGTACATCGAACGCAATCGAAAAGTGGCGCTATATATTATCTTTTATCGCCGTTGGTCAAGGGCCGTGGCGTGGCGCGGTGCGACGGTGGGGAGGCACAGGAAGCGGGGAGGCTGGCGGGCCCACAAACAATGCCACACTGTTGGAACGGGCTAGGTCCACGGCAATTTAGAGTAAATATCTTTTGAAACTGAGCGGAACGTCCGCCGTTCTGTATCAAGCCAAGAATCGTGACAAGACAATTCACCGTTACCGTTGAATCCGAAGCATAAATGCGCGGGGACGAAGAAAGCATGCACTATGCACGACAATGAGAGTTTGACCACAATTCAAAGAAATTTTATGTTTTTCTCTAAAGAATGTGTTCAGTGAAGAATAGAGAATAGCACTTCCTTAAACCCATTGGTTCTTTTGAACAGATTTACGAAGCGAACCACTGGCGTCGTGTGACGTGGTGTTGGCGCGACACCGCAGTTCGCAGGTCGCGGGGGACGCCTGTCCGGATAAACCGATGAAAATATTCCCCCTATGATATAGACTCCCACCCAAACTTTTTTCATTGTACTTGGAAACAATGTTTGTTGGCGCGTATAACTCACCGCTACCGAGGCTTGGCTCGCGCCTATTCCATCTACACCTCCGCACATTATTCTCTTCCTCCTCTTCTTCTTTCATGCTTCATTCATTGGAGAACATCGCACCGACACGACGTGCGCACTGTAAAAAATAAAATAAGAACAATAAAACAAAAGCTCTCCCACAATTTTACGCCAATCTTTAACTTTATCTTGACATGTATTTTGTATTTTGTTATTGTCGCTTATCACTCTGATCTTTAACAGTGTGCATCCGCTGCGCGTCGTAGCATGGCCTTTCTTCGCCCGGGATGCCCCTGAGACGCCACCGCTTCTCCAACGCGGATCCGCCCCGCCTCGCCCCGCCCCGCCCCGCGAGAGGCGTTACAGGGTGTCTGGTGACGCGAGCCCAGTCCCTCTGGGGCACACAGGGAAAGCTGCCGTCGGTATACCTTGTTTTGTACCCTAGACACCGGAATAAAATGCATTTGCGAATGAAAAGTGGTGGAATAGCAAACACCTCGCACAGACAGGCACAGAAAAATGGCCTCCGAAACAGCATGCATTAAGGATGCTCCTTTCAGCATCACATGAAATACATTACTTTCACACAAAAATCGTGAGTTTTTTTCGTAAGTCAAGCACTCTACTATAGCATTGAAGAGAACTGAATGTTTTGCAGCTTCACAACCTAATTGCAGCTAGAAAGCTTTGCTTCGCAAAGGCTTCAACACTGCAAATTTCTTCAAGGGCTTACTGCCCACGAAGGTATTTTCAATAAGGTTTCGCATGGTGTGAAGGGGGGTTGAGATGAACCTCTCGATGAACGCCGGCAGATCCCATCTGGAAGGTGGTAAACGTGCGCCGCGGCGAGGCACTCTTTGTCTCGCTTGATGAAGCGTGCCTGGCCGGCCACTGTCCGTTTTCACCAATCCCCCCATTTACCCCGTTCCGAGAGTGTTCCCAGCGCTCAGCACCTTCAAATGCATCGATGTGCAGCTTTCTGCACATCAGGTTGCATTTATTTCGCACCAGCCATGTTCGGATCGTGCAGAAGATAGCCTAACAAGGGAACATACTCCTACCCCATATAGGGGAGAACTAGTTGTGAGGTTTAGAAAAAATTTCAAGTGCCATTCGATTTCTACATAAATGAAATTCAAATTTTCCAAGCTTAAACGAAATCAGAGATTTACACCTGAAAAGGTTCCCTTGTAAGTTCGGTTTCCTCAGATTCGTTCGGCAAAACACGGGAGCTCGGCGCCTGCGAGACTTAGGTTAGGCCAACCCGCAGTACACGCATGCATGCCAGACGAGATGTTGCCTACCTAACAGGCGCTATGCGAGCTTGCAGGCTGAACTTTCACGCCGCTCAAGCAGGTACGCAAGGCGAATGACGCGGTGTACTTTCTGGATAGTCCCTTTTCTGACGAGAGGGTTTGCCTGCCGCCATTTATAAGCGTGGCACCTTACGCCTTACCGCTGGAGCGGGGCAATATCGGCGCGCGGTACGGCCCCACAACCATTTTGCTCCTATATTTTTAAGTTACATTTAATGTTTTCTATCAATAAGTTATGCCAAACAAGAAAAAATGTCGAGAAAAAGGTCATGTTTATTGACTAATGACAAAGTTTTTGGATCAAAAACAAGTTTGTCGAAACACATAAATTTGCTGTAGTACTTCTGTTTTTCGACAACTTTGTTCCTCCTAAACAAATGTTGTTATTTTACGTGTAACAGAGGCTTTCATTTTTAAAAAGGTATCAACAAAATGCTGTTTATAGACATTTTTTGTTAACAAAGAAGGTAGTGAAATGGGTGCGGCGAATCAACAATCTGGTGGTAGAGTGGAATCTTCAAGTAACGTCCAAAACTTGTTATAGAGATGAAATCGAATGCGTAAACTTTGACTCTTGTATATAAACTGTGCCATACTTAAAACAATTGCCTTTTAAACTGTTCCATACTTAAAACAATCGCCTTTTGAAAATGATGGACAGTAAAAGACGCAACAGTAAAAACAGACAACATTGTGCCAATTAGCTACTTAGATTAATCGGTCAACTTCTACTAATTTCTGCTATGTTTTCCACCGATTTTCCATCACACACTCTGTCGGCACCTTCGGCTAGCGC